GAAGAAGACTCGAGGTACGAGATTGGTGTCGAGATTATGAGGTTGAGATTTAATGCCTGCAAGTTAGTTACCTCAGTTTATAATCCATCAAATATTTTCGCTCGCTAGCGATTGGTCTAAACGCGTCATGTGACCGAATATTCCTCAGTTTTAGCTGGGGAATATCCGAGAATATTCCAAAATTTTCAAAATTGCCTGTGCTGTGTAAAATATTTGAAAGATAATAAACACAATAGCCTCCATTTGACTTTGGAAATATGTTCTGATATTTGTCCGCGGACGTTATCTGTTCCTCAAAGCTCACAGTTTTCCTCGAGCTACGCTCTCGGAAAACTGTTCACTTCTCGGAACAGATAATGTCCGCCTACAAATATCCGAACATATTTTCGCGCCAAATGAAGGCTATTGTTTATATATTTTATCGCCAAATGGACGCTATTATTTATGTGTCTGCAGCGGCAAATATGCTGCATATGATGGACTAGCATCGATCATGATTATATAGATACTAGTGTTATATTTAACACATAAAGAGGCCTGAGCCGTGTATTACACTGTGATAAAACACGACGGGCATTTGAGAACACGAGGGAAATGTAGAAAACACGAGCCGCAGACGAATGTTTTCTACATTTCTCTATTGCTTTTATGAAATAACTATGGAAAAAGTCTGTCAATTAGAGGAGAATTTATTGTACTTTCGCGATCAAGTTGCTTATTCTCATCAAATTCATGAGATGACGCAACAAACCAATCACAGCGACTGAAAGAATGAAAGCACAGACTCAGCGCCGGACACAAAATCCGCGGAGCAACAAGACGAAAGACTCTGCGAAAAGTTTGCAAGTAGTCCAAACTTCATACGCTTGGCGAAGTGATCCAACGTAGTGTTTAACGATAACTTTCCAACATTTTGTGAATGGAATAAAGGTATGTTATAGAAATGCTGCTTCCGAAATTTATTCAGAATTTATTTACTTATGCTGAAGGCTATGAAGTCCGTATTTCGCTGTATTTTGTTAAATGAAAACTATTGCTTGAAAGCTAAGCT